AGGAACTCTCTTGGTGATGTTATCCAGTTTCTTTATGGAGAAGATGGAATGGATGCAGTTTGGATTGAGTCGCAGAAACTTGATTCTTTGAAAATCAAGAAAAAGGAGTTTGATCGGCTTTTCAAGTATGAAATCGATGATGAAAACTGGAATCCAAGTTACATGCTTCCGGAACATGTGGAGGATTTGAAAACCATCCGGGAGTTCCGGAACGTGTTTGATGCTGAAGTACAAAAACTCGAAGCTGACCGTGTCCAGCTCGGAACCGAAATCGCCACCACCGGTGACAACACATGGCCTATGCCTGTAAACCTAAAAAGACTGATTTGGAATGCACAAAAGACATTTAAGGTTGATTTGAGAAGGCCATCGGATATGCATCCTATGGAAATTGTGGAAGCTGTTGATAAGCTTCAAGAAAGGCTGCGTGTTGTCCCGGGTGATGATCAGTTGAGTATTGAAGCCCAAAAGAACGCCACCCTTTTCTTCAATATTCTTCTTCGTAGTACTTTTGCTAGCAAGAGGGTGTTGAGTGAGTACAGGTTGACCCGTGAGGCGTTTGAATGGGTTATCGGTGAGATAGAGTCCAGATTCCTGCAGTCGCTTGTTGCACCCGGGGAAATGATTGGGTGTGTTGCGGCCCAGTCTATTGGTGAACCTGCGACACAGATGACCCTAAACACCTTCCATTATGCTGGTGTGAGTGCCAAGAACGTTACCCTGGGTGTACCCCGGTTGAGGGAGATTATCAATGTTGCTAAGAAGATCAAAACCCCGTCGTTGTCGGTCTATTTGAAGCCTGAGGTTAGTAAAACAAAAGATCGGGCCAAAAACGTGCAGTGTGCTTTGGAGTACACCACACTGCGGAGTGTGACTCAAGCCACTGAAGTATGGTATGACCCGGATCCCATGAGTACAATCATCGAAGAAGATGTTGACTTTGTAAAATCTTACTATGAAATGCCCGATGAAGAGATCGACCCGGATAAGATATCTCCTTGGTTGCTCCGTATCGAGTTGAATCGTGAGATGATGGTTGACAAGAAGCTGAGCATGGCGGATATCGCTGAAAAGATCAATCTTGAGTTTGATGATGATTTGACATGTATATTCAATGATGACAATGCTGAGAAGTTGATTTTGAGAATACGTATCATGAATGATGAAGCCCCGAAAGGCGAAATGCAAGATGAATCGGCTGAGGACGATGTCTTCCTTAAAAAGATTGAAAGTAATATGTTGACAGAAATGGCGTTGCGTGGGATTCCAGATATCAACAAGGTGTTTATCAAATCGGGGAAAGTCAACAAGTTTGATGAGAACGAAGGGTTCAAGCCCGAAAATGAATGGATGTTGGATACAGAAGGTGTAAATCTTTTAGCCGTGATGTGTCATGAAGATGTGGATGCGTTGAGATCCACCAGTAATCATCTGATTGAAGTGATTGAGGTTCTCGGGATCGAAGCTGTTAGAAGGTCGTTGCTGGACGAGCTTCGGGTGGTGATTTCGTTTGATGGGTCGTATGTGAATTACCGACATTTGGCTATTTTATGCGACACCATGACGTACCGTGGGCATCTTATGGCTATCACACGACACGGGATCAACAGAAACGATACGGGCCCCATGATGAGGTGTTCGTTTGAAGAAACGGTTGATATTCTTCTTGATGCTGCGGTTTATGCGGAAACCGATTATCTTCGGGGAGTTACTGAGAACATAATGCTGGGGCAGCTTGCTCCTATTGGGACCGGAGACTGTGCTTTGTTGTTGAACGAAGAGATGTTACAGCAAGCGATTGATGTTCAGCTTCCGAGTTACATGGACGGGCTGGATATCGGGATGACACCTGGGCGGTCCCCCATTACTCCTTTCCACGATGGTGCAATGTCTCCCACGAATTATCTGTTGAGCCCGAATCTACGGTTGTCTCCGATTAACGATGCACAGTTTTCGCCTTATGTTGGTGGGATGGGTTTTTCGCCAACTTCATCTCCCGGCTATAGCCCGTCGTCGCCCGGGTACAGCCCTTCATCTCCAGGATATAGCCCCACCTCGCCCGGGTATAGCCCGACTTCTCCTGGGTATAGCCCTACATCTCCGGGTTACAGTCCCACCTCTCCAACTTACAGCCCTAGTTCACCCGGTTATAGCCCAACAAGTCCTACCTACTCACCCACTTCACCTAGCTACTCCCCTACCTCCCCAAGCTACTCACCCACCTCACCGAGTTACTCACCCACATCGCCTAGCTACAGCCCGACCTCGCCGGCTTACAGCCCGACGTCTCCGGCTTACAGCCCAACCTCTCCTTCCTACAGCCCGACTTCACCATCCTACAGCCCGACCTCTCCCTCTTACAGCCCCACCTCCCCATCCTACAGCCCAACATCACCATCCTACAGCCCAACCTCTCCAAGCTACAGCCCAACCTCACCTGCTTACAGCCCAACCTCACCTGGGTACAGTCCGACTTCCCCAAGCTACAGTCCTACTTCTCCAAGTTACAGTCCCACCTCACCAAGTTACAATCCTTCATCCGCTAAGTACAGCCCCTCGTTGGCTTATTCTCCTAGTAGTCCATACAGCCCTACATCCCCCAACTACAGGTACCAATTACCAACCAGTGTCTTGTTGTTTTTGAAAAGCATTATGTTTGTTGATGTGTGTGTGTGTGTGTTATTTGTTAAAATGTTTGCAGCCCCACATCGCCATCATATTCTCCAACATCTCCGTCTTACTCTCCTTCCAGCCCTACATATAGTCCCACCAGGTACATTACATTTACATCTTATCTTAGTTGCTGTATATTTATTATTCAGAGTAGAATCATGGACGTTTCATATTTGGTTTTTGTGCAGTCCTTACAACACCGGTGTGAGTCCAGACTTCAGCCCAGGCTCACCACAATACAGGTAACTTTTTTATTTATTATTATTATTAATAATAAAATATTTTGTTAATAAAATTGTATGTGGTTTTGGGTTTTGTCAGCCCTAGTGCTGGGTACTCGCCTAGTGCTCCTGGGTATTCACCGTCATCAACAAGCCAGTATACTCCTCATACGAGCAACAAGGACGATACATCAAAGCCATAATAAACATATTCTATTTTGGAGAAAACCCCAAAGGATGGAAAGATGGATGGATGCTAGCTAGTCTTGTCTTGCTTGTGTTTTGTAATTTGTATCCATCTCCATCACCTGTTTCCATGGATTGGATTGCTACTTGTTAGATAAGACATGATGGACTTGACTTTTTACTCGTTCGTATAAAGTGGGACAAGAAAGAGTATTATTGTTTTTTTTTTTCCAGATCTCAACTAAAAACTGGGCTAACTGAATATCCATCCATCAACTTGTAAAATTTGCTCTCCCAAGTTTCATGTCATCATCAACAATTAGATTTAGTGCATCTATCACCGGACTTGCTTTGAAATCAAATCTACTTATTTTTAACATTAAAAATTTAATGTATTACCAATTTGCCATACCACATCAGTGTTGGTTGGATGACATAAGAAACAATATTGCAAAAGTAAAAACTATAGATAACAAGTTTGAAAAATGCTAGTAAAATTGACATGAGCGGGAATAGACAGGCAAACACCTAACAAATCATGGTTTATACTTTATAGAAACAAATCAAACACTTGCATGTGATGCAAGTCTAGCGGTTGACGGGTTGAGGTTCAAAAATCCTATATGTCCAAAATGTTAATGCTCCATAATATACCCCTACATCTTTGGGGCGGGTTCAACATGGGCTCTAGAGGGTTCAACTTGCCCCATTTTTTTAGAAACAAATCAAACGTCTCACAAAGCGTCCATTTAAAAAATCAGTAACAAACCATCCTGCTGATTTGCTATGTCCAAAGGGTGCCGCTTACCATTTTTATAAAAACAAATCAAACACCTCATAAAGACTCCGTCTATAAAAAAATAGCAATAAACCATACCACCAATTTGCTGTGTAGACAATAAACTATCCTCAACAACAAATACAAATACGAATAATAATGTGAAAAATAGAAATCAGTTGAAGAATATAAACAAAACCCAAACACCATGATGTTTTAGGCAATACAATTATTTTCTCAAAGCTTTCTAACTTGGAGCTCATGAATCATCCACACATGTTCAACCACTTATAAAATAGCGAGAATAATGGACTGAATAACCATTTAGTTCATTATAATGAGCTAACGAATCCCCTTCTTTTTGCCATTGGACCTCCCAATCAAATTCCATAACACTCATAATGATCAACTTTACAAAGATCCATTGTATTCCGGAAGCTTGTAGTATGGGTCCCGATAAACCCCAATTTATTGCTTCCTCTCCACCAATAATGCCTACTCCTTCAACTTGCTCTAAAAAAATGGGATTCCGTATAATAAGCTTCTGATTTTCAATAATTTCTCTTAAAAAATAATCGCAAAAATCCAAACATTTATCAATCCAAACATATATATATATATATATATATATATATATATATATATATATATATATATATATATATGCAGCTTTTCTCTCTCTCTCTCTCTCTCTCTCTCTCTCTCTCTCTCTCTCTCCAAATGGCTTTAGGGCTTCTTTTGTTTGAAAAATGTTTTTATTTATGTTGTATTACTTGTATATAGAGTTGCATCCAAAAAAATTGATATTGAACATTTTGGTCAAAACATTTTTAGAAAGCTCGAAAATGATGAAATCCAGGAGGGGGATAAAGAATAAAACGTCTTCCATCTATCACATTATCCATAACACATGAGTGAACAAGTGTTGCAAATTTGCAATTATGATAAAGTTATAGAATTACAATTTTAACGGTGGATAGACTTGGTGGTTAATTTGGACCAAAGGTAACTATTTTGATAATAGTAAATGATTTAAAACTATTGGACTAATCGCGCAAGATGAGAAATAGTTAAAGGACTAATTATGTCATTCCTTCCACTCTTCAACCCTCGTCCTCGTATAAGTTCATCAAAATTTGAGCCGAGGATCCACTTCGTATCATAGCTGTCTGAAATCATCGTTATGCAGCCACTAGAAGTGGGTACTCGCGTTCTCTGCCGCTGGAGGGACGGAAAACATCATCCCGTCAAGGTAATCGAGCGTCGTAGACTTCACACCGGCGGGCCTAATGACTACGAGTACTACGTTCATTACACAGAGTGTAAGATACAGACTCCTTTATCTACTTCCTTTTTGCAATATGTTCAATGATAATTGATATGAACTTTGGTCGTTTCTTGAGAATAATTTCCGTGTGGTACCAATTTTATCTGGAGGGACCTTTTTCTGCTTTCTTAGGCTGTTCCTTTGTTCCGGATAATTTAGGTTTTATGAAATTGGGGTTTCTTAGAATGACAAGGGCTTTCTAAGAATTGCTGGTTATGCCTGCAATTCACAAGTTGCGAAGTTTACTTTTTTTTTTTTTTCTTTATTGTTTGGCCAGCTGAGCAGAAAGACTAAAAATAATGTATAACTATGTTGTAGCAACTGAACTTAGCTAGGTTTGAATAGGTAGATATATTGGACGCGTTGGGATACTTTTAGTAGATTTAGATAAAAATTGCAAGTATGTATGTGAAACTTCAGCTTCAAATAGATTGGTTTGCGAAATGCGAATGCAACCATTTGCATAAGGACAAGGTCCGCTGGATTCGAAGGATTCTCTCAGTTCATAGGAAGATTTGATGTTGAGGGGTCTTTGTTTAGCAGAATCACTAGGTTGGGTTGATTTTGAAGCTGTCAAACCAAGTTTTAGGCTTATTTTATCAATGTTCAATTCAAGTATCAAACACTTGTTTTATACAATTCATCATGATCTAGTGACCTTGGTAGTTGGTTTCATGCATTTAGATTAAATATAGTCCATGTACATGGTTAATTATTTCTATTATAGCAATTAGTGTTTCTATAGTCTGGTACTCTGGTTTATCTTATACATAGTTTATAGCATGAAAGGAGTCAACGACAATAAAAGTATCAGAACATAAAGAACAGATTTGTGTTTCCAAATGCTTTTTCAGTTTTCAGATTTAAATTTTTTGAAAATGGAACAGTGTTAGTTTATTTACATGGCAGTAGAAATAGAAATCAAAATACTGTTTAGGCTATTTAAATCTTTGACCATAATAAATGAAAAGCGTAATGGCTTCCACAAAAAATATAGGTCTATTGGCACCATATTACTCAGTTTTTGTGCAAAATCTGAATTTGTGTCTTTTATGATAAACCTTTTATCTTAATTCAAGTCATGTTATTTATTTTGAATCTTGGTTAGTAAGTAATCCAAACAAACTGTGAAGAAACTCCAGCATAAATTCTTCCGTTTTGATACATGGACAATTTCCATAAGAGAGCTACCACCTTACCTAGCTTCTTTAAGAGACTATGAATTTGATATCAACCATATAGTACCATGGACAAAGCAGTTGGTTCTGAAGAAGCTATAAATTTGATATCAACCATTAATGCTATACATTGTATTAACATATAAATAATATAACAAATTGATATGAAAGTTCAGTACATTCCTAAAGGCCAACCAAACATGATCATAGAATGTAATGACTTATTCCATTACCTTGCTTATTCAGTTATCTCGTCCATTCCATTCCACCCAACCAAATGAAAGAGACCCTTGATGTTTTGCAGTAGTGACTACTAGTAGTAGTGTATGTATGTGGCATAGTGGTTTTCTGCTTTTGATATGTGATGAGCTCTCTTTATTTCCTGACAGTCAATAGGAGGCTTGATGAATGGGTTAGACTTGAACAGCTTGACCTTGACTCAGTAGAAAACGATGTAGATGAAAAGGTGGAAGACAAGGTAATATATGTCTACTTTGTTCCTGTTTTTTTAATTAGTCATTTAGCATCTTGTAAATTGTAATGCTGTCCTTAGTCCTTACATATTGATTCAATATGCTGGACTTTGAAAGAGACTTTACCTAATATCCTTCTTTGGGCATTGATGTCTTTTAGGTAACAGGTTTGAAAATGACACGCCACCAGAAACGTAAGATTGATGAGACTCATGTTGAGGTTTGTGCTATTTCATTATTGAGTTTGATAAGGCTATTGAGGTCTTCTCAACCTTAGTTTTGGATTGGGTTATAATTTATATAGGGGCATGAAGAGCTTGATGCTGCCAGCTTACGTGAACATGAGGAGTTCACCAAAGTCAAAAACATTGCAACTATAGAACTTGGAAGATATGAGATTGAGACATGGTACTTCTCCCCCTTTCCACCAGAATACAATGACTCCCTCAATCTCTACTTTTGTGAGTTTTGTCTCACTTTCATGAAGCGCAAAGAACAGCTTCAGAGACATATGGTGAGTAGTTGTATGCTACTACAATTTCTTTCATTCTCATAATTTGTTAAATTTAGATGATGCCATGCCATGCTTCTGAAGATTAACAGTGGGACAAAATGCATAGTGAATGGTCACTTTAGGGACAGAAAACACAACAAATGTATCACAGGGATGATCTTGTAGTTTAGTCTTTATTCAACTTAAAACGTTCACTACCAAGAGATGTTTGAACACATAACTTGTCTATCCTAATATCTTTTGGTTTCTTGCCTTTGTAAAGAAGTGGAAGAATCAACTGAACAATTAAGTTATAATATCATTTGTCTTTTTTTGCAGAAAAAATGTGATCTTAAACACCCCCCTGGTGATGAGATATATCGGAGTGGTACTCTATCAATGTTTGAGGTATATATTCTTGACATTTTAATACATGCCAAGGCACTAACAGTAACACACTTCTATATTAAACATTTGTAGAATAAAAACACATGAAGGAGAAGTGCAATATTACAGTCTTACAGCAGAAAATAAATGCATAGTTTCATCAAACATTGTGTACAGTTATGGTATTAGAGCAGGAAACAAATAAAACAAACCAATATCAATGTACAAAGTAAAGTATAAATAGTAAAACTCAAATTGTAAAAGTAAACACGAGATGACAAGTTACTAGTTATAGTTGTTATTAGTAACAATTGTGTTTTGTAACAGGTTGATGGGAAAAAGAACAAAGTCTATGGCCAGAATCTATGCTATCTTGCAAAATTATTTCTTGATCACAAGACCCTCTACTATGATGTTGACTTGTTTTTGTTTTACGTGCTGTGTGAGTGTGATGATCGGGGATGCCACATGGTCGGATATTTCTCCAAGGTTATTTCTGTCTTTTGGTCATCTTTTTACATTACTTTGTAGTTTGTAGCAACAATTTGTTTTATTGGGTTGTTTATGTAATTACAGGAAAAGCATTCAGAGGAGTCATACAATCTAGCATGTATTCTAACTCTTCCTCCTTATCAGAGGAAAGGCTATGGAAAATTCCTAATTGCATTTTGTAAGCCGCCTCTTTCCAAATCCCTTAATTTATTATATATAAAAAAAAATGTTTTTGATTTGACATATGATGCAGCATATGAGCTTTCAAAGAAAGAAGGTAAAGTTGGGACACCTGAAAGACCTCTTTCTGACCTGGGATTGCTTAGCTACAGGGGATATTGGACCAGGGTTCTTTTAGACATTTTGAAAAAGCACAAAGGCAACATATCCATCAAGGTTTGTCCTTGTGATGTTAGAATTATTACTTATTTCCAAATATGCCCTCCCTCCCTGATTTGGTATATGGAATTTTTGGCACAGGAGCTTAGTGACATGACAGCGATCAGGGCGGAAGACATATTGGCAACTCTGCAGGCGTTGGAACTGATACAGTACAGGAAAGGGCAGCATGTGATCTGTGCAGATCCAAAGGTGTTGGATCGCCATCTAAAAGCAGCTGGGCGTGGTGGTCTTGAGGTTGATGTTAGCAAATTGATTTGGACACCTTATAAAGAACAAGGTTGACTTCATTTCCAATCACCCTTCGTTTCTAGGACATGACATTACAGATACTTAATTGACCTCATCCAGTATATGTAAAATTGATGCTTCTTGTTCTTCAATTCTGGAAAATCCTTGATATTCTCTTCAATGAAGCTACCAGGGATTGCGTTCTTGTTCTTGTTCTTGTTCTTGTGCTTGTGCTTGTGCTTCTTTTGCAATGTGTATTTTGTATAGCATAAAGACTTCATTATTAATGTAAGGTTAAACCCCAATTGTTACTCAACAAGATATGACAAAATATGTTGCATCACATTTGGTAATCCGTTGATTAGGACTCTGACCAATGTAATTGGGCGAAAATTGCAGTTTTCACAATTATACTCAACTCTCATAAGGTCATGGAGTAAGGGGAACATTAAATCACATAAAAAATCTCTTTCAAAATCATAGCAAAAATGTAGGAGTTAAGTGTTGATCCGTGATGGAGCCCTATTCTCAATGTGAAAGACTGCATATCACTACTTATTAGATTACCAACACATGTCCTTGACCGTAAATGCATATCATGATATCCATGAAATACCTCCCTAGAACCCGTATATGGTCCTCCAAAAATTTCCCATTAGTATCATATGTCTTCTCTAGGTCAATAAACACCATATTTAGGTCCTTACTTTTCATCTCTATATTTTACCTATATGGCATCTAAGAAAGGCAAAAGCCTTAGTAGTTGACCTCCCAAACATGAAATCAATTTGATTCTTTGTCACAGTTGGTTTACATTGCAACTTGGCATTTGATACTCTTGCTCACGGTTTCATGGTATGACTAAGTAACTTTTACCTTGATAGTTGCCACTAGGGGGTATAAACGAGCTGAGCTATTCGAGATCGACTCATTAAAGGCTCGACTGGAGCTCGAGTTAAGCAGAGCTCAAGCTTAGTTTCAGGCTCATTTATTAAACGAGCTCGAGCCCGAGCTTCATCTATCGAGCTCGATTAGGCTCGGCATCCTAAATGAGCCTATGCATAATTATATAATATAATTTTTAATTTTAATTTTGTATATTAAATTATAATTAAATAATTAATTATTGAATATCAAATAATGATAAACGACCTTTTTACCGAGCTTAAAAACACAAATGAGCTTGATATTTGACTATTAATCGAGTTGAGCCGATGTTCGTTTAAGTACGCCTGACAAACGAGCTGAGCTTGGGCATTTTAAATCATCCACAAGACGAGCTCGAGCTTTGAAACTTAAGCTCGAATCGAGCCGAGCTTTAGCTTGAGCCCCAAGCCTACTTGAACTCGAGCTCGACTCGACTCGTTTACACCCCTAGTTGCCACAACATTGGGATCTCGTTTGTTTTTATATATTAATATCACGGTACTAAGTCCTCCACTCCTTTGACTTGACAGTTTTGCGGATAATGCTAAGTTTTTTTAATCAACATGACAACATTGTTGGTTATTTCCATAACTAAAACATAAAATGCAGAAGCTTTAGATCTTAATCTCGAATCTGTCAAAAGAAAACTTTACATAACCAAAACATAAAATGCAGAAGCTTTAGATCTTAATCTCGAATCTGTCAAAAGAAAACTTTAAATCTTAAAGAACGATTACATACCTGATTCATTATGATTTCCGGATCTGAAGACTAGATGAGTTTTCCAGTTGATCTCAAGACCACCTCTAAGAACCCTCAGCAATGAGACTCACGAATTTGTTTTTGTAATTTCGTGTATCTTGATTTGCTCCTCATCACATGTATTTATAGATGGAGATAAACCCTAAAGTGAGAGATGGAAGGGATCTTGAGGATCTTGAGTCAAACCGGGAACTCAACCCACAAGGTAAGTTAATATTCTATAAATCGGTCCATCAACAATTTATATTCTTACCGTAATAATTGGATTTAATAATATATCTTACATATTTATGAAGTGGTCCCATAATTATCCAACAAACATACCACCCATGGTCAAAACCCCTGAGATTTGAACATGTGACAACTTTATTTTGACGTGCACAAATCCAAAGTAATCATCACTAGGTCACCCTGATGGTGGTGAGAATAATGTTAAGTAGGTTCATTATCCATTTCACTCTCATCTCCTTAAGGCCAATGTCATCCTTAATATTTTACGTTTTATGTCCCTTTACACCATCTTTTTGGATTTTATTAGTGTGTAGTCTTCGCTTAAACAACCATTTTCTTCACCTCTTGTTTAGCCTCCTTGTATCATTATTTGCCTTCCCATTCCCACATCATCATAACTCAATAAAAACTCCTTGAAACATGTTTGTTACTTCTCAACCTCAACTTGTACCTCTTCACTCCAGTCCACCACCTGATTCTTTATGTTTCAGCCAAAACAGTGGAACACGGTTGGATACTGACTTTTAAAACACTTTTGTACATCATAAATTTTGAATAAAATAAATATCAATAATATTCAATATTGATTTTGAATATGTTAATAAGATATTTTTATTGATATAATTTGTTAAAAGTAATATTTGTTGTTGTCATATATCTTTAATAAATTAAGTTAACAATTTAATAAGAATATGAACATAACTTTTAAAACAAAGGGTTGTAAGTTAAATCTTTTACATAACACAATAACGAAAAATGCGATTTACTCATCTTGTAACTTTCATGCTAAGAACGTGCACCAAATGTGTGAACTTTGTGTTCATAACAATGATCAAAGTGCGAGGGGTAAAGTTGTACACAGTATACAAATAGGGGGTAAATGGAAAAATCACGTCGGAGTTTTTTCCGGACTAAAATCAGGAACCAGACCCCAAGAAGTGGGGCAATTCCCAAAAAGATCACCACAACGCCAGCAATCGGCGATGGCGAAGTCCACCAAAATCCACCCAACCACTGATCCCGAAACCGACCCTAGTTCTTACTCCCTTGAGAAATTCAAACTCTATGAAACCAGGGCCAGGTTCTATCTCATCGGCAGTGATCGGAAGAAGAGATTCTTCCGAGTCCTAAAGATTGATCGCATGGAACCCTCGGATCTCAATATAAGCGAAGACCCTGTTGTTTATCCGCCTCAGGAAGTCAAGAGCTTGCTTCAGCGGATTGCCGAAGGCAATCGTGCTACTGGTGGTTTATCCTTTGTCGCCAAGGTCTACGGCATCGCTGGTAAGTAATTTGATGAATTGTATTTATATCTTACAAAATAATTGAATTTCTTTTTGGCTGGAACATTGAAATTTTTATTTGTTTCAATGCCTACATCTTCACGACCTACAGAAACTCGTTTCTGAGCATAATATGAACTTGGATAGACAATTTTGATCACATTCATTTGACTACCGAAGACTAGATGCCCGTTAAGAACTTTATGAAATGTAAAACCCTATTGAAGTAAGGTTAAATGGTGTTTAAAAAAGCTAAGAAATGCGTTTGGCCCTTTATCTTAGCACAAGTATAATGTTTTTTCTAGATAAAGTAGGGCACAAAACTCTTGTACGACATTTCCATTTGCTTTAGGGATAGGCTCAAAACTCTTGTATGAACCATCTAGCAGGAAAGACAATCCATTTGGGATTTGGCAATAGACCATATTGATTTACCTTTCACACAAGGTCAAAGTTGAAAGGCTCTCAATAATTTGGAAGTTAATATTTTGATTACTTGTGATATATATTAACTTCAGTTTAATTGGTGTAACTGATTTCAGGTTGTATTAAGTTCTTGGAGTCGTATTATTTGATATTGGTTACAAAGCGTAGGCAAATTGGGTGTATATGTGGTCATGCAGTTTATAGCATTGAAGAGAGCCAAATTATTACAATTCCACATGTCTCTGTTCAAACAGATGTTGCTCATTCAAAAACCGAGCTGAGGTATTTTTGTGTTGTCATTACCTCATAAGATTCACATACTAATGATCTTTTCTGGTGTTACAAGGTGTATCAAAAGGACACTGATATTAGTTGGAATGGTTTATTGTTGACCAGTTTTATATTTACTTCATAATCTATTGAGTATGTTTTTTTTAATGTTTGTAGTTCCATTGCTTTGGCAACACTGCTGATAACTATATTCACAGCTTCATTCATTTTGTTCTTTCTTTTTGGTGCTATGCTATATCTATTAAGTTGTTCTTTCTGCACTAAGTCAAAAATGGCTACAGGTTTCCTTTTCTTTATCCTAATCTACTTAGTGTAGGTTTAAATTGACCCTAATCTACTTAATGGTGACATTGCTAATCTGGTAAGCTATATATGGGTGTTTTCTTACTTAATTAGGAAAGAGCTACTTAATAGAAAGTCAGGGAAATGAGGCTTTTCCAGTTAAGTCCTAACTTTCTATAATTTTGCTCTCATTTCTGCAAGTGTGCCATCATCTCCTCAAATGTTTTTCCCCATTAAGCTCTAACCTTCTACAAATTTGCTCTCATTTAAATTTTCCTTCCATTTCTGCAAGTGTACCCATTTCCTCAAATATTTTTTAAACACCATTTATCTAGACACACTTTATCCATACAATACTAAATGGAAAACAAGATACTAGTCTGTGTTACAAGCTTGAATTCATTTCTCAGATCTCCTGAAATGCACAATAAATATATTATATATATATCAGGTGAGTTTGATTACTTTGCTTTGAACAGAGTTCATACTATTGGTGCAGGTATAAGAAGCTGTTATCGAGTGTAGACCTGACAAAAGATTTTTACTATAGTTACACATATCCAATAATGCGAAGTTTACAGAAAAATGTTCTATCCACTGGCAATGAAGGGATGCCATATGATGACATATTTGTGTGGAATGCTTTTCTAACACAACCAATTCGATCTAGATGCAAGAACACTATCTGGACAATTGCTCTCGTTCATGGAAATTTTAAGCAGGTTTGTTGATTTTTCTCTTGCTTGTAAGTATCAAACATAAAAAAAAATCATCTCCATGAAGGTGTTCTTGCTGTTATTTATATATATATTTATGCATTTTATCATGTTTTCAGTTCAATGTCCATTCATAAATGTTGGATGTTTGTATCTATGATTACAGATACGGTTATCAGTCTTTGGAAGAGACTTCAGTGTTGCACTGTTATCTAAGCGATCTCGTCACTTTGCAGGAACACGGTATGTGCTGCATTTTGATTAGAATCATTTTAAATTCATTGAGAATTATGATTACATAAATGACTGAATCATGATTGAATAAATGATACAGTTACTTGAAAAGGGGAGTAAATGATCGTGGTAGGGTTGCAAATGATGTTGAAACTGAGCAAATTGTTCTTGATGAAGAAGCCGGATCATGCAAAGGGAAAATGAGCTCTGTTGTACAAATGAGGGGTTCAATTCCTCTTTTTTGGTCGCAAGAAGCTTCTAGATTCAGTCCAAAACCTGATATCATATGTAAGAAAGAATCACCAACTCATTGTCTTGTTTATCTTGGTGTATGTTCTGATAAATTAGGTTTTTGCCTGTGGTTTCAGTGCAAAGGTATGATCCAACATACGAGGCAACCAAACTTCACTTTGAAGATCTGGAAAAGAGATATGACAATCCAATCATTGTGCTTAATCTGATCAAGGTCTGTTTTATAAGTTTATTGGTGTTTGTTGAAAAAGTTACACGATGATCATGTACACATAAATATAATGATTATTATTGTAGACTGTGGAGAAAAGGCCTCGAGAAATGATGTTAAGGCGTGAATTCACGAATGCAGTTGGGTATCTGAATCAGATACTTCCAGAAGAAAATCAACTTAGGTTTATCCACTGGGACTTCCACAAGTTTGCAAAGAGGTAGGTATTTCTGTTTGTCAACCTCCCAACCACCACCATCACCCCAATTGACTTTAATTTTGTTTTTGATGTGTTGAAGTAAGTCTGCCAATGTATTGGGAGTTTTGGGTGGTGTTGCTAGTGAAGCACTGGATTTGACAGGGTTTTATTATAGTGGAAAGCCAACTGTTGTTAAGAAAAAATCCATACAGCTCAGTAGGACAAGCACAGCAAGGTATCATATACATATTGGCTCTTTTTTTTTTATGACTGAAATTGAGAATAATCTTTTCTTTGTGTAAACTGCAAGTTTCTGCAGGGAGGCTTCACTCAAAGATTTGAGAAGTGCTTCAGGGGATCTATCAGTGGCCACAAGTAATAATACTATTACTGATACAACCCCTCAAGACAGAGATCCGAATCATAATCACAATCAGAAGATGAAGAAATATAATCACAGCAACAAAGATCCACAGTTTCAAAGTGGAGTTTTACGAACCAATTGCATCGATTGCTTGGATCGTACAAATGTTGCTCAATATGCGTATGGTTTGGCCGCCTTAGGCCGCCAGCTTCATGCCATGGGACTTACAGATGATCCAAAAGTGGATGCTGATAGTAGTATTGCTGCAGCTCTTATGGATATGTACCAAAGCATGGGTGATGCTCTTGCACAGCAATATGGTGGATCTGCAGCTCACAATACTGTAGGTGTAGTTGTGAAAATTAGAAGATAAAACAGTGCTTAAAAGTTTTAAAAGATTTTGTTGTTAATGAATTGCTGCAGGTGTTCCCAGAGAGGCAAGGAAAGTGGAAAGCAACAACACAGTCTAGAGAGTTTTTAAAATCCATCAAACGATATTACAGTAATGCTTATACAGATGGTGAAAAACAAGATGCTATCAATTTGTTTTTGGGCTACTTCCAGCCACAAGAAGGAAAACCAGCACTTTGGGAACTTGATTCTGATTATTATCTTCATGTATCTGGGATAGGGGATGACCTAATCCCAGAAGGCTAGTAAGTTTTGCTCAAATGCTCTATATATTTGGTTTGCAAGTAGTAATGAAAAAGAATGATTTTGGAATTTGAACAGTTTACCAAGTGATGGTGGTGGTGGTGGTGAAGCTGTAAGGTTTTTGGGGGGTTCACTGACACCTGTTGCAGCATGTAAAGAGGATTTTTCACGGATGAAACTGACATCATTTTCCAAACTAATAGAAAGAACAAGTGGTGCCATAAAGAATGTAAGGCTTTGTAGTGAACCGGATCATAAGCCTCCTGGAAATTCTGGAATGGCACCTGATGCAGTTGAAATACAACTTAAAAGTCCAAACTGGCTTTTTGGTCACAAGAAGTTTGAAGAAGGTGGTAATAATGGTATGCTGAAAAAAGTTGCATCGGATGAATTAGCCATGAGAGGGCGTGAAGATGAGAAGAAATTTGATGAGTTGTGTGACCCCAATTGGGTGTCTTCTGCTGTTCACACTGATGAAGAGGATGTATTCAAAAGGTATTGTCTCCTTTATACTATAATTGATGATTTATGAATAATCATCCATCCATGATGGTATGTATGTATGTATGTGTTAAAAATAAAATACATTCTTTGTGTAGATATCTTGCAATGACCTCAATAGATGAAGCGAACGGATGGTATGGTGGGACATTGCTTGCTGAGCAAGATGAAAGCAGTGAGGTATATAGACATTATGCTCAGTTCTGTCAGGTGAGTAAATTTCTTCACCTTTCTTTCTGCTGTTGCTTGGTGTAATTTGGTAAATGAATGAGAAAGATTGGTATTGTGATTTTGTTTGAGCAGAACCCTATAATGGAACCCTTCCAAAACGATTCTGATAAAGAGAAGCATTATGCTGAGGTGCTTGGCTCAGTAGCAGTGGTGGAGTGCATGGATGATGCAACTGCAACTGTGGAAGATGAGATGGAGGCAGCACTGATGGAGTATGAGCTGATTGGGGCGGATCTTGGTATTTGCCCCAAGACTTTTAATGCTTTGGCCATTGACCCCACTCACTTGACCAGGTGGATGATCGGAGAACACAGGCTGCCTTCTTAACAAGGTCTAAGAGTAACCATTTCATTTTACTTTTGTACAGAATTGACTTTGACTTTGCGGAGAGAATGGATAGATTCATGATTGTATGATTGATTGTATGTTATTATCAACATGGGTGGTTTCCACTTTTCACCTTTGGAGTCTCATTCTTGTACTTGGCTATAAGTGAATACAAACCTGAAAAATAATATTATACTTTACACATTTTTAATTACATATCTTCAACTGAAATGGAACAAATAGGACACTTGTGTCAGTGACTCACTGAAATTGAAAGGTGTGCAACTTTCAACCATAAGCTCCTCATCCACAAAATATCATATCATATTTAAAACTTTTAGTTTCTCCAACTATCATGTATCATATACCCCCCCGCAAAAATAAAAAAAGATAAAAAGAATAATGGCTTCTCATGCTCTCTCTTTCCATTCCTCACAAATCTATCACCGATCCATCTCCAATTCTAATCCTGTTACTCTACAAAGGGGAAGCATCATCATACCTCATGCTTCAAAATCCAGTGGTTTTCCACTTAACTCTGTAAGTTGTTTATTATCTTTAAAACTTATAATACTTACTATTATTTATCATGGTATTTACGAATCATACTCACGTTGTTTGCTATAAACTGGGTATGGTTTCTTTTATGAAACATATAAGTTTTATACTACATATCAAACCAAATATAGATAATTATCATGTGACAAAAAAAGAGTAGATATTTTTTTGAAACTAGTGAAAAAAGGAACAATTACATCAAAGCATGTAAAATAGGGTTTTGAAGCCACAAATTCCATTTTAATTTATATGAAATTTATGCTTCCTATGAACCACCCATCAAAAGACACAAAATCATCAAAAAGCCTATCTATTTTCGGCCTAACAAGATCAAACACATGCTTGTTCTTGAAGTTCCAAAGGCACCACCAAGGAGTAGAAATAATCACATCCACCACATCTTTACGAGTTTTTGATAAAGAAGCCGAATCTATCAACCCCTGAGCATCACCTACCAACAACATATCAAACCAAATATAGACCGATAGTAACGAGTCATTGAAAAATGTTTTTTTAGGGTAAAATTTTAAGTTATTAGTTGGGCAAATTTTACATAATATCTATACATAATCTTTAGTGTTTATGCTTAAAGTATATATTCGCAAGTATTATCTAAAGAATTGTTTGATCATATTTTAGATCATGTGTTAAAAGATGATATATGTAAATGTAATCGTGTTTTTAATGTATTATGATACTTGCAGATTTTCAAGAAATGTGAAACCTGTGGAGGTCAAGGTGCCATAGATTGTGGTGGATGCAAGGTTACATTATTTCTCCTATTAATTCTATAGTTTCTTTATTATACATTTCAATAAAATACTTATAATTATCCGATTATTATATATCCTGCATCACACCTATATCTCACGAGTCCGGTTCCCTCATCCTAAGACCTATATAGGGACCAATCATTTTAACATAACTTACATAAATTTTAAAAACAGGCAAGTAAAACTTAAACAACCGTAATTAATCATTTTAACTACTAAAAAACTGCTTAAGTTGCATAATTTGAGGGAGGGGGAAATATTTTATAAGAATGTGTTGTGTTTTGTTGACACAGGGAACAGGAAAAAACAAGAAGAATGGAAATATATTCGAGCGTTGGAAGTAAGTTAAGTAATTACTTGCTTATTATCTTGTTTCATAAAAACCAACATTTAATATGATAATAGGTTGAAAAATCATTCGGTTACTCCTAAAACAACAAATTTTTTTTTAAACATATATAAAAAGGGACAAATGATTTGACCTTTCAAAATCAAAACATTAACCATGGCAAAGGCAGTAACTGAGTTTTTATTATCTCTTAATTTCGACTCTAATAACTCACTCACACTACTAAAACCTAACTTTTTTTATTAAAATATTGAAGCCTAATTATTCTTTCTTGACTTGAACTAAATTATATGTTTGATACACAACACAGATGCTATGATTGCCAAGGTTTTGGACTGAAGAGTTGCCCAAGTTGCGGAAAAGGAGGCCTAACACCTGAACAAAGAGGAGAACGTTGATTGTCATACTTTCTTATTTTCACTATTTTGTATAAAACTTCACTTCCTTTTATTAGATTACTCAACAATGTTTCGCATTTTTACCATATTTTTTGCTCCTTGTCCTACAAATCCTAACCCAAATGAGTTTGGAATCAAATATGCATCACCCACACAACTACCATATAACAGTTCCAATCAAATCAACTGAAACAATTTGAAACCAAAATGAAATTCGCTGGCAGCCTTCTACTTGAATTATATAAAAAATTATCTAGTGTACATAACAATACAACAACAATCGTACCATTTTCCAAAACTCTCTGAAAGTAGTGAGTGTTTGTTTTGTTTTAATATAAGGGTTTAAATAAGCTTCTTCTTGTGGAAAAATCGTTTCAAGTACCACAACTGCAAAACTGAAACTGCAATGCAAACACCAAGAGACAGGATGCTAAACCAAGCCACCCTTGCATTCGTCTTTTCGCTCACTTCCCTCATCTCTGCTTCCCTACACACCAAATCCATAATAATAATAAATAATAATCACGGCTAATTCTAATTTAACAAAAAAATAGCAATGTACTTTGATTTTTTCTATTGTTTATTATATAGTATCTTTACTTCCATTTCTTATACAACATTGTAAAATTGCTTTGTATTTTGTGACATTTTGCTACGATATGAAAAAAATGAAAGTAGAATGGCATGATAAGTAAATAAATGGTGTTTTCTTGCATTTAGCCTAGATAATTATACTAGGAACAACATATAAATTTTTTTTACCTGTTCTTTAAATAGATCAAATTCTCATGGATGGCTTCCACAGCACCCTCGAGCTTTCTCAATTCGAATTCAACACCCTAAAAGAGAAAAATCACGTGTAAATAAAGGAAGCAAAGTATAATTAATATTGGAAAAAAAAAGTTACTAACATCAATCTTTTCTTTCTTTGCAACGGACTCCCAATCTTTTGCAGCAATACCAATTCGCCAGTCAAGACTAACAGTTAGACCCTTAGTACCTTGATGATGACCATCTACCCAAAAACATGCCAAGTAGTTGCCTGATTCGTTAGTTGTAAATGCAAATTGACCATGAGTCATGTTCTCTTTGTGGTGGAGATTGTTTCCATATGGCGAGGTTACCTGTTCCATTAACACTTAACTTTCTTCATAAAATCATCATTAAAAGTAAAACTACAATATTGCCAAATCTAGGTATCATGGAATCAGGTACGGAATGGAGTGGTTCATTGCATTGGAATGAAGAAAAGCTGTTTGTTTTGTCCCAAAAATAGCTACATTGCAATTGCATTACGACATGTCCTTTTTGGTTATGAAAACTAATACTGGTCCTCACTTCCAAACGATTCAAATCATGCCCCTGTTTCTTTTCATCCTCCAAAATTACTAAAAAGCTCTTGATTTGTACTTCAACACCAGTCATATGGTTGCTAAAGTGTTGTCATCATCCATAAGTACAAACTTACAGCCACACAATTACGTGGATCGACATTTCTTGATGCAATATTTATGTGTTCACATTGAACCTAAAACAAGCACCTTGGCCTGTATGCTACTAAGGGATATTCAAGTGATTATGTAATAGTTAATAATCAAAATCAGGTAATCAGCTATAATGAAAAGCCTATTTCAATCAATCCGCATATAAAATTTCGAATCCACCAGATCAAGATCTAGGAGTAACAGCTTAACCTAGATCATCATAAACATAAAGTAAAGTTGCACAAAAAAGATCGATGTTTACCCGAACGGAAATTGTGGCGCCGGAGGGCATATGGGCGTCCTCTTGACCATTGATGAGGGAGTAATCAGCAAGAACAACCACGTGGTTTTGAATCTCTTCAGAGACACACTTGGTTCCTGAAGTGGGTAAGTCTAACCAGATAGCTTGCGTTGTGCTGGTGATAGCGCACCACCATATGAAAACCACAATCGCTCTCCAGCTCCACCTCGTAGTCATCAAAACTAGTTTTATTTGTAGTTTGTAGTTGAATGTTTATCAATTTATGTGTTGTGTGTGTGAAGAAGAAGAACGATGAGATCTGAGGTTACCCTTTTGTTGAACTTCCTGTCTTCGTCAACTAAAGGCTTGTGTGCCGATTGTATCAAACTTGCCGTCAAAAGTATTTCTACTCTATGTCAAAAATATTTTTAGGGAAAATGACTTATCAAGTAATTAATTTTTCGGTATGTTCACGTCTGAGTAACTATCTTCTTTTGTATACATCCAGGTAACAAACTTGTTGGGAGTGTTCACATATGACAATTATGACCTGCTGTAGCAGGTTAAATCCTAGATGTGAACACTTTCAACAAGTTCGTTACCTAGATGTATACAAAAAAAGATAGTTATCCAGATGTGAAGATACCGAAAAGTTAATTACTTTGATAAGTCATTTTCCCATATTTTTATGTAGATATGATTAAATTATGAGAAAGTAAACATCCTTTTGATTTTTGTTCAAGTCTATAGTTTTATTTATATAAAATACTATTATACATAATTTATTAATTATTTTTCTTAATTTTTTCTTTTAATTTTGATACTTGCATTATATACTGAAGATAGGTAAGAATAAAAAGCAGTGAGATAAGATGAATATTTCACCCAGACCCGATTTTAAGCACGGGCAATATGTGCACGTGCACATGGCCTATTTTTCAGGGGCCCAAATTTTCTTATACTATATTAATTATTAATTAAGCCCAAATGCAAAAGGAATGGATAGTCAGATCAGTAGTCCACACGCGAAAGGAAAGACAGTCGGCAGACGCAAGCAAGCGAGAAGCGATCATTCAGCGAGAAGGCGAGAAACGATCATTCAATCGAGTACCAATGGTCCTGTCGTCCACTCCTTATTCCTGATAATCAGGTTATCATATAATCGATTATTCTAGTATTTATGTTATCATATTATCAGAAATTGAATGTATTTATGTGATCAGAATTCAGTAATTGAATGAATCAAATTATCATAAATTCCACTGATCAGGTCATAGATTATTAAAAACTGAATACCTGAAGTTAAGTGGTAGCTTTTCATGTTTTTTGAAGTTAAGTGGCAGCTTTTCAAGAAACTGAAGTTACCGTTTTGAGGAATCTACAAACAAAGATGAATGAAAAGAAACAAAATATTTACGTGGAAGATGGATGATTGAATATTGAATTCTCGAATTCTTGATGTGTTTTTAAATGATGAAATGTTATAAACTTTATGAAAAAGGTTATTTTGATAACATATTATTATCAACTATCAAGTATCATAAAATCTTGATTTTAGAGAAAAGAATATGCACAATTGAGAGTATTAGTTTTTGTTAGGCTCATATCCATATCTGGATTTTATCTGTCTATACCATTTGTCATTTGTTATTTTTATTTTGTGGGTCCTATTTGATAATTCTTAGTATTGTTGTATATGTTAGGTTTTCATAAACCATGAAATGCTATCAGGCAAAACATAAGTACATTCGAGGATTGATGTACTATATTTGACATCATGATAATTACATGCTATACCTTAAAGATGTTATAGTCATTTTGAGATAACGAATGATACAATACTTTGAGATGTCCTTTTACTCTAATCTTATATGCATCATAGGCAATAATATAATTTTACACCACTTTAATCCTCATTTCCTAACAAGTGCAGCCTTGAGATATAAGGGTCATATGCAAGTAGCTTCATAGGACGTGTTACTAACTTACTACACAATTACCCAACATGACAATATATATATATATTCCCATGTTAGTCATCTCCAAAAGATATATGCATGTATCATAATAACATCTTTGACACATCGACATTACAAACTATGATTTTGCTATGTCTATTGTTATAAAGTTTATTGTCGTTTTAAAAAAAAATGTTTATATAATTTAATTCGTTACACGTTAGGGCTCAAAGGCATTTTTTTCAGCTCGTCCTAGGCATTTGAATCCTCGGTACCGACCATGATTTCACCGTGCTAACAAACACCATGTTGTCGGTGCGGTGACAGAGGAAGAGATCACCGTGCGAGGACATCCCCCCCCCCCTCCATTTTTTAAACATTCTCTAAAAACAGTTTATCACTCGGTAAATACCAACCATTTTTAACATTTAATCTCACACTATTTTATTTCATAAATTCATTCATCTACAATGTCATCATCTACTTCGTCAAATACGTTGGCATTATGGGAAACAACATTTATCGGGAAATTTTGCGGCCTTTGAAAGAGTAGATGTTGATACACCACAATATAGGGTACACAAAAAGAAAATACATGAACGTGATATCCATCACGTCCGTCACGTTGATTTGGGGAACATATTCACAAGGCTAACATACAACCATGGTTGAGGTCCTTGAGGATTGCCACAATAATTTGTTTGAAGATATAAATGAAGATTTAGATTTGTTTGTCGAGGATTTGAGTGAGGATTCAAATGATGAATCGGAAGAAAATTCGGCTTGATGTGATATTTTAATTAGTTTTATATTTTAGTTATATTGTTTTATTTTGGAGGACAAAGATATTATTTATATAATGTTCAATTGGACAATTTAGTTTAGATATTTGGATTTTGAAATCGGTTTTTTAGCAACATCGAATTATTATCTTCGTTTTCATATTGTTTTAAAAAGAAAAAAGAAGAATCGAATTGTCCAAAACAATGGAATTACAATATATAATTTAATTATTTATTTTTAATATATATTTTTAGTCATTTATCATTTTTTTTAAATAGATCAGACATCCGATTAAAAACGTTCAAATATTTTTCTTATTTTTTATCTGTTAAACATTAAATTATAATGTATTTATTACTTATTTATTTATAATATTTAATCCACAGATTTTACGTAAGCATAGATTTGGATAATAAAAACAAAATGATGCGGTATATTATAAATATATACAAAAAGTAACTTTTATGAAAGTTATTTTATGATAAATAAACAATTTTTCATGTCTAAGGTATATAATTATATTAATGCATAAATTACAATTTTAGTCTCTTAACTTTATATAATCCATCGTTTGCAACCTTTTATTTTGTAAAATGTTTTTTTATCCATATATTTTTTAAAATATATTACTTTCACACCTCCATCTTCGATTTTGTAAAATTTATCTTTCACCCCTTCATTTTTCATCCCTCAACTTGGTATAATCTGTCACTTGCAACCCTTCTATTTTGTAAAATACTATCTTCCATCTTTTTACTTTTAAAAGTATCACTTTCACCTTTTCATTTTCTATACTTTCGTGTTTATCACCCGTCCCCGTATTATATATAATATGATTTCCTCTCATATATTTTCCTAATACACAACAAAAACACATAAAAACTCGCGGCAGAGCACGATCTCAATTACCAGTTACATACAATTAACATCTATATTTTTATCCATCAAACTCTTTCCTAAAATATGTCAGAAATATGCTAATAACAGTTGTAACGTCCAAAAATTTCACGCCAAATTCAAACTTTTTAAATCACAAATAAAAGTCAAATAGTATTGTTTACAAAATGTTTTCAAATCAATATCCATCAGAGTGTCCCAAAATCATAACATAAGGATGAGGAGCGGTACGGTCACGCCTTCGCCTTGCCACGATCTCTTGAAGTACCTGAAACAATAAACTGAAAACTGTAAGCCCCGAGGGCTTAGTGAGCTACCCCCAAAATACCAATACCATATCAGTAACAATCAATCAATCAATCATGCATACTGGGCCATCGGCCTGACTGGTCCGCCCTACCGGGCCTACAGTCTATCTGAATCTATTCATGCATATTGGGCCATCGGCCTGACTGGACCGCCCTACCGGGCCTACAGTCTATCAGAATCTATCCCGAGCCTTCGGCATGACTGGTCCGCCTCGTGGGCCTGCAGTCTCCCCGGACCGCTCATAGGGTATGTTGGCCTTCATCACAAAGCAGGACCGCCTCAACCCAACCAATAAGCAAATAACCAAGTTCGCATAACTATCATATACTGGCATATACAAACATCAAACATATCTGTCATACTGATCATCAACCATAGAATCCTCTCGTAACTAGAGTACCGACCTAGCAGGTCACTAACATAACAATCCTTATGGATCATAAAGCATAACATACTGTCTACCCTGATTCCGATCTAGCAGACCAAACCATATGTAGCATACCATAACAATAACAACTAAAAGGGCCGGCCTTGGTGCCGTAGACCCTATCGATATAGTGAGGATAACTCACCTCGCAGATGCCGACTCGAAAGGTAAACTCCAATTCTCGGATCACTTGACACAGGCTCCACCACCTATGACCATAGTACAATATACTCATAAGTCCTTAAATCTATAAGGTACTCCATAACCCACCAGTCAACCCCTGGTCAAGGTCAAAGTCCTCAGTCGAGGTCAACAGTCCATGTTGACCCCCAACTCGCCGAGTACCCTTGGCTACTCGCCGAGTTCCTCGAAGCACATTCCACTCGTCGAGTCGTCGGGGTGACTCGTCGAGTTCCTTCGATTCCTGTTCAAACTCTAAGGCCACCCGTCGATTTTCCTCCTTGCCACTCGACGGGCACACACGCATACATATCCTAGGGAAAACTCATCCGACTCGCCGAGTTGTTCTTCAACTCGTCGAGTCTTATGGTGATCTTCATCGGACTCGCCGAGTTGTTCATCCAACTCGTCGAGTTCACGACCATCTTCATGTGACTCGCCGAGTCAACCTTGCGACTCGCCGAGTCCATTCAGTCATTTTTCCATACAGACTTGTTTTGAGCCATGCAGCGGCTCCAAATCACAGATCCAAGCTTCTAGGGCATGCTTTTCACGTAAAGTTGCAAACTTTACGTGCATGCATGACTAATAAGGCTCTTAATGCCAAAACTAAGTTCTTAATGGGGCTTTATGCACAAGGAGGGCCTCATTCTCGACCAAAATCAGAGCTTTATGACTCTAGAACCCAAGAAGGTTACAGATCTGAAGTTACAACTTCAGATCTAGCTCATATCCCACATTACCATCTCAACCAAACCATAAAAACCCTAGATCTCAACCAAAAGAGGTCTAGAAAGAAAAAGGAGAAAAGATGACGACTTGATACCTCCAAATGATGCTATTTGAGGTAGATTTCTGATCTCCCACACTTCCTTGCTCCTAGCCCTTTTGTTTTCCCCAAGCTCCTTTCCTCACAAGATCTCCTCTCCAAAGCTTTACACACACAAGAATGAAACACCACACGAATTAGGGTTCTCTGAGCTCTCAAAGGACTGCAAAGAGGCCAAAGGAGGCTTATGCTTCCTTAAATAGGGTGCAAAACCCCGGGATTTAGGGTTTCATCTGCCAGCTCCTACTCGCCGAGTCCCAATATGGACTCGTCGAGTAGGTCACTTAACACGCGATCCCACCCCGCTGCTACTCGACGAGTAGGTCAACCAACTCGTCGAGTAGAGCTTCACCCAATAAATCTTATTTAAACAATACCTGAGAATCGGGGCGTTACAACAGTTCATCAAAAGACCTTAAAAACTCAATTAACCCTACTAAAACTTATATTTTGTAATTTTTGTGAAAACAAAGCATATAAAATTGAAATTTAGGGAAAAAATTAACACTTCTTAGCGAAATTAAAGATATTTTGGAAAATAATGTATTTATGTATAACTGAAACAATAACTTGCCTTATTCGTTGATTTAAGAGCTAATAGGTAGAACTCGAAGATATACTTTGTCTAGTTTGCCTCAATGAATTTAAAGATATTCGTTTTTTGATTTTACTCGATGAATGTCGATAACATGTTCCTCTTCCCCTTTGTCACTTCAGAGTATGGCCTACATTTTATAATTTTCCCTAAGATTTGCTAAAAAATTTAGGGCCACTCGTAACTTTGGGCCCTAGACGGTCGCCCAGGTCGACCTTGCAAACATTTATAAATACAACCAAGTTTTAGAATGCAAATACATATTATTTTAGAGAAAAATAGTCGGGTATAGTTTATCATGAATTATCTTTAATATAGTAAAATAAGGTACACGATATAATTAGAAAAATTATAAACATGTAAACATCAATCATATATAGTATTGCTCAACATTTGTTTTCCCTTTAAGTTCACTCGAAAACACGTTCTTGATGTAATCAACAACGGTTATCCTCTTAAATCGTGGTGGTGTCTCATAACTGATGATGCTTGTTGCAGGACCTACATCCCCATCCAAGTTTGGGCTTAGAAATGTGGCGATGGATAGTCTCTCTTTTTGGGAGTTCACAACTGCTCTATGCTCGATGCTTTTATAAGTTCCATTTGTTACAATCTGAAAAGTCAATGTAGAAGATGTTATTATTTATACCATTTTTTCTTTAATTATCCATTATGCACTACATATGGACTCTATCACAATTATTTTCAACTCAAGAAAACAAATCATTTTGTTTGTTGTGGCAAAAATGCAAATGTTACATAAAAATGATGATTAAGAGGAAAATCTGACCTCCAATATATCTCCAATATTAATAATGAAAGCATCGGAAAATGGTTGAACGGGGATCCAAAGGCCATTATTTTTTATTTGGAGACCTTCTACTTGATTGAGTTGGAGGAGGAAGGTGATCCCAGCAGCATCTGAGTGAGGGGTAAGACCAATGACTTGTTCGGGTTCTGGACATGATGGATAGCAGTTCATTCTCATCATTTGTATTCCATCGGCGAACAATACTTTCATCTCCTCTTCCTTCACGTTCAAAGCTTTTGCAATAAACACCAAGATTTCTAAGGCCACAATTTTAACTTGTTCTGAATACTCTTCTAGGGTATCTCTGTTTATATATAATAACATCATAAGCATTAATATGAATCTTCTCTAATCTAGGTTTTATATATATATATATATATATATATATATATATATATATATATATATATATATATATATATATATATATATATATATATATAAGAGTCACTCTTTACCGCTAGGTCATTGGTCATTTGGTTGTCTTAGATTGGTACTGTGTGATATCCTTATCTAAAAGAGAATCGTGTTTGATAACTATATCTATTATATTAATAACACACTATTTTATTTATTAATTAATTAATAACATAAATGCTTAAATGTTGATTTTAAAATTACGTTACTTAAAAATAAACCCGTAATAATTTTCTGTATATTTTACCAATATATATAAATAGCATAATCTAATCAATTGACTTATGTATCAAACAAGGTACACGTTATAGCAACTGATGCATATTATAACATTAAAAACTAATCAACCAAACTACAACTCATACTAAATGAAAATGAAGACAAGTGGGTGGCATTTGTTTTGTTGTTTAGAATCATTATGTGTATGACTTTTGATAAATATGATGGAATGAGAACAAATACAATCCATTAAAATCAAATTGTTGTTTAAATGTTTAATAAACTGAATTTGCTGGTTATGATTTTCAAATTGGCTTTTAGTTTCTTACATATGCTAAAATATGACCTTCTGTGTACAAATTTCCTTCACGTTATTATTACTGAGAAATTATATATGTATTAGATTAATGAATGAACATTTTTAACACAATACAATTGACATCACACTACTATATCACTAAATTAAGATAAGATATTCAACCAATTAAAAATAGTTATACTTATCAATCAATCAATCATATACTTTGATAAAATTACAATCAGGAGATGATCAAGGGAAGGAAGAAAATGACCTGAATGGAAGAGGTAGATTAGGAAACAAGTGCGGTTTTCTGAGATGGGAAGGGAGTGTAACCATGTAAAACATGTCACCCCAATCAAGCTTTTGTTCATCTGAAACAACAAATGCTTGTCCAAATCCTTCAAGATCTCCACTCTTCTGCCAATACTTCTTTTTCTCCTCCAATGGCAATTCGAAGAATTCTTGTGTTTCTTTCTTTACTTTCTCTATTAATGAACAACTCACCTTATGATTTATCAACTGTAAAAAATCATTTATATAGTAAATAAATATCCTTATGTAGTCCAAGTTAGTGTAATAGTAACAATATTACAATTACCTGAAAGAACCCCCAGTCTCTACAAGCAAGGTGTAGTTTTTCCAGTTCAGAATCAGTATTTGAGTTATGATCAGAAACAGAAAGTAGGTGCTCCATATCAATGATGGGTACTTGATGTGAAGAAGATGATAATGGTGATGTAATTGGAGGGTCTTGATCATGGCGAATATATCGAGGTGGAACCTTCGTCAGTTGTTCCTTAACGAGTTCTTGTACACTAGGGACTAGAATAGAACCCCCAAAATCTGTTTCCTTTTGCTCCATCATATTCATATCCCTCCGATCCTCTTTCTCATGTTCATTCATTTTACATAATTTCTTATGCTATAAGACTATTACAATCTTTTATGTTGATCAATAGTTGCTTAAGAATTTTTATTAAATTGTTAATACTACCAAGGTACCCACTAGTAGTAGTAGTAGGTGATATGGTATATCCTCCTTAGTAAATGAAGGTTTTTTTGCCACATGTCAATCTCTCATGAGTTTTGACACTTGTCATTTTATGGTATTTTTAAAATAAATATTATCCACTTGTCAATTTTTGGTTTGTTTCAGTTTTTAAAATTAAAGTCATATACTTATTTATATATATATATATATATATATATATATATATATATATATAAAGTATTAAATATCATATATATGATATTAAATTACAATAAATATATTTCTTCATTTCTTATTTTAAAGTTGTACATTAAAAGATATTTTATGTTTACACCTTAATGTTTAATCTTTTTTTAAATCAATCCGTGTAATACACGGTGTCACACCTAGTATTTAATATTTGGTTGAAGTCGACGTATGGCACACAAATGGTTTTTTTATAACAAACATTTGAATTTTTTATATTAAAATTGCTAGGCAAATTCGGCTAGATACCTTAAGTAGAAGCTACTTGCTACTTTATGCAAATGATACTAGTATCCACAATATAATTTTTTTTTTAAAATTGTCACGGAATAAACACATTTAGTTATCTCCTCCTGTATAGCTTAATTTGGTATAATCTAAATCACTGTTGATGCTAATTGGTAGAACAAACAAGAAGATGATTTTACGTTTCTACTTATCATGTCAATGAACATAAACAATTGTTTTGAAAGTTTAAACAAATATAATGATGATTAATGTTAAGTAGGGGTGTAAGCGAGTCAAGCTACTCATGAGCTATTTGGGATCGGCTCGTTGAAAGCTCAACTTGAATCTGATTTTAAACGAACCTGAGCCGAACTCGAGCTTAATATTAAGTTGGTTTATTAAACGAGCTCGAGCTTGAGCCTATGTCACTAAGCTTAATTAGGCGCGCGAGCCTAAACGAGCCTATATATAATATAATTTATTATTATTTTATATATTAAAATAAAAACAGATTTGGAAAATTACGAATTTAGAGTATTAGCAAACGAGTTTGAACCGAGCCTACGCTTATTTAGGTACATTAGATAAAAAACGAGCCGAGCTTGTATGATTCTTTACGAGCTCGAGCCAAGCTCAAGCTCGAGCCCCGTATAACTTAAACGAGCTCGAGTCGGCTTGGTTCGTTTGCACCCCTAATGGTAAGTAATAGTTTGACCAACAAAAGGGCTTGTGGTCCTGCCCTATTATGAATTGACGAAAATGTGTCCGGTTAAAGATAGAGGGTTTAAGTTTCGTTTAACACAAAATGTATTAGATTTAGGAATAAAACAGTGAATGTGTAACTCGTTCAAAAAAAAGTAATAGTTCGACAAATTTTAATGGAAATTGGTAAATCGTATAATTGTTGTTTGACTCTAACATATGGTAACGAGTAATAATTCCTATGAATTATGTTTGAAAATAAAAATAAAGGGATACAAATCCAAGTTAATTATAATGTACCTGATAAAAAAAATTAAACTGTGTTTCAACTTTCAATGAATCATGCGAAGGGTCAGCAAGATCGATAGGTTGTGGACAACAACGGTATATGCTCGGTGAAGGGAGCGAGAAGGAAAAAAAAATGGTGGTAAAATTACAAAAATCAACGTGATAAAGTCAAACAAAAAAAATTAGTCATTATCCTAATCGATTTGCATTTTAAAAATCTAGGGGATAAGGAGGTTTTTAGTTTTTGCAAATGATATCAACATATCGGATTATTGTTTGGTCCTATAAAATATACCCCCCCCCCCCCCCCCCCCCCCCAGATTTTATACAATATTTACATAAATAACATTTATGTCTGACCATTTTAAAATAATAATATTTACTATCACATCATCACTCACAATATAATTTTATAGGTAATTTAGATTAGGTGACAAAAACACTCGACATTTGTTTGACATACCATACAAACACGACATGGCATAATGGCAAACTAAAATGGTATTTTAGTACCAATGAGAGAGAGATTATTTCTTTTTTTCTTTTTATTATTATTATTTTTTACCATTGATTTATGACTAAACTGTACAAATGGTCCCTGTGGTTTGCTCAAAATTGTCACTTTGGTCTTTTGGACTAGCACCAGTGGTCCAAAACTTTCATTTTGTTGCGTTTTTGGTCCAATCTGTTCTATTTTTTTTCAAAATGACGGATTTGCCCCTATTAATATGATTTTCTCCTTTTTATTATTTGTTTATGTTTTTCAAATTAAAAAAAACAAGAAAATAAAAATAAAAATAAAAATAAATCTTTCTCTCTTTCTCTCTCTCTCTCTCTCTCTCTCTCTCTCTCCCGTTTTCTTCTTCCCCACTATAATTACATCGCTGCCCACTTGCCATTCTTGCCGGATAACACCGCCGGCCACCATATCATTTTCACCGGAAACAGCATCGGCCATCTCTCCAGCCATCAAATAGATCAGAAGACAAAGAAACAAACAGAGATGTCTTCATTTTAGGGTTTCTAAATCAGATGAGCTACTATCGAGGTTACAACACTACCGTCATCTCTCCTTCTGTTCGTTGATTGTTTACCAAGAGAAGAGAGAAAAAGCCGGCAGTGGAGGGAGGTCCGACACCAATTTCAAAACTGCCCTCCATGACTATTTCTGTAAAAATCAGAAGAAGAAAACAACACAAAAACTAAAATGGGTGTATTCGAAGAACCCTAAATCAACAAATTGTAGCATATAAACATATTGATCTTACCCTTGATGATTTTGACGAGACCCAATTTCCAGATCTATGATAAGTAGTTTCAAATCGCCAACGATCCTGGTTTTAATTTGGTAAGACGAAGACCCAATGGAAGAAAAGCAGCAGCAACAATCATCGATCTTGGCTGTCTCTCTTCTGTCCAACAGAAAACACGAAGAACAGGGGAGGGTGAAGCAGATCGAAAGCAGCAGCGGGAGGCGGCGATGGCAGTTTTGCCTCTTCCTTCCTCTTCTTCGGTTGTGAACAACCATTGGAGAGAGTGAGAGGCGACACCGGTGATGGAGGGGTTATAGTATTCGAAGGAGGAGGTGGGTTAAGATGGTGGTGGCAGTCAGCGTTCCCAACTGCCTGTCGTGTGTCGTTCTGATGCTCGTCGACGAGAAAGGAGGTGAACGGAGATGGGGACGGCGGAGGGAGGAAGCAGCAGCTTTGATCGATGGTGGGGTGTTTGGATTGTTGAGTATTAAGTGAGAGAGAGAGAGAGAGAGATATTCTTTTTTATTTTTCTTTTAATCAGAAAAAACATTTAAATAAATAAATAAAATAGGAAAAAAAAGTATCAAGGGTAAAATAGTCATTATGAAAAAGTTTATAGAAAACTGGACCAAACTCGCAACAAAATGAAAAGTTTGGACCTATGGTGCTAGTCCAAACCTTTTTGGACCAAAGTGACAATTTTCAGCTAACCACAGGGACCATTTGTGCAATTTTGTCTTGATTTATCCCCTCCAAATCATGTTAGGTGGCAAAATTGACATGCCAACAATGAGTTTATGGCTTTAAGGGCATTCCATTAAACTCTAAGGAGTTCAATGGATCGCCACATCAACATTTCACATTTTATTTAATTTTACTCTTTAACACCTACACTCCATTGAACCCAACACAGTTCAATGAAATTCCACATTTTCATCATTATATATTTAAACATAATTATAAATTTAGAAATAAAAGATAAAATAGTTAAAAAAAAAATACAACACTTAAAAATACATTAATTCAAAATTATGAAACCTAAAACATTTAATACCTAAAAATACATTAATTAAAAACACAAAACCTAAAAATACATTAATAAAAAAGATGACACCTACAAGTTATATTTTATCTTGACTTCTTCACAACGATTCATCCAAATTTGTCGTCCCTCCTCCGATATGCTACTTAGATCCATAAAAATGATTGACGTCTCTTCATGCTTCATTTTTTCTTTTTTAATTGTATTTTTTTCTTCTTTTAACATGTTTTTTAAATCCACAGATCTTTGGTAGCGTTCATAGTTTTTTTGATTTTCTAGTACATGCTTTTCGAGTATCTCATCCAGTCGGCTACTTAATGACGAGGTGGATTTAACTGCTTTTTTGGCTGCCTTTGTACCAACTGGACGAGTTACAGTTTCACCATTTTCCAAGTTGATGAAATCATGTGCATTAGATGCAGTGGTTGACGATTTCCATTTCGGTTCATCTTTCACCAAATTCCAAACATGATAGTGCTTGAAGTCTGTAGAGATACTGGTCAGCGGCTCCCGTTTTAAGATCTTCTTCTGACCATCCACTAAGGTGTTGGCTTTTCAACACCAGATAAATTTGATTAAACACAACGGCTAGTGGGTTCATGTAATGCCAATGTGCTTTGAGGTTGCTTTGAGTTCTAACACCTGAATTGTTGTTGGATTGGAAGTAGGTAGTGATTCATTGCCAGAACTCCCTGTCACGTTGTGAGGTGCCAATGATACTATCTGCTCATATATGTAACCAACCTTTTGCAAGAAGCATTTCTTCTTCCCTTTTCCAAAATATTTTTTTTAGATTTGGCCCTTTTGTTAATGGGAGTAACTTCCAGAGTAGGTTCTGTATTTGGAGGATCTGGGCATGGATATGTATTCTAGTATGGAGGGAATGGAGGATTGTTAGGATTTTCAGGAAATGTGGAATTTAACAAGTTGGTATAATAATTCGGATTGTTTGGATTCATGATTTGGATACAGTGGAGAAAAAAGATTCTTTGAATTGTGATGATAGACCCAATTTAAAAACTTCACAAACGTTGTACTCGTTATAAATGATTGGCATTAACTACATAAATATTAATTGCTACCAACCATTAACTAAATGTCTGAGAATTACTCCCACCAGCAAACATAATTCGTTCATTAATTGCCTGACTTACTCCCATCAACAATTCTATTCGTTCAATTGTATACGACATATGA